CCATCCTGTGCCTATCCTGCCTCGGCTGGGCAGCACTTATCCCATCCCCTGCCCCAGCCCCACACCCTCCCTCACCGACCCTCCCTCACCATGGGGGCCTTGATCTGCCCAACCCCCTATGCCCCTCCCCTCCCCTCCCCTCCCACCACACCAGACTTACCAGCTGGAGACAGCTCTCCACACTGCTGGGCTGGGTATTGGAAATCAGATCAGTCTTCACCAATATAGCTCCTTACAAATCGGCTATCGGTATTGGCTGCAAAAATCTATCGGTGCACTCCTAATTAACAATGAGATGAAATTTATGATTAAATGGAACACAACGGCTGTTTGCCTTAGGGAAATTCAGATTTTGTATTTTATATTTCTGTGTAGAACAGCATTTCCCAGTGTGGGGAATGCTGCCCTATCCCAGTGGAAGAGGGAGACTGGCTTTGGTTAAGGTGGTAGACTGTATATCCTGACTTGTTTTTGTAGATTTGTTTCATTTCTGTGAGGGAGGGACTCGGGTTTGGGGAGTACTATTATGGAACCATAATAATTCCCCTGATGTGAAATATACAGTATTTTCAAATAGATTTAATTTTATTTTGACCAGGTTGTTTCAGGTAATATTGTGAAGTTTCTCATTAATCAAAATATTCTCTAATGATGTCCCTGTATATATTGTATTCTCTACAGAATTATAAAACTAAACTATTAGTCCATTTTTATTATGAGAGCAAATATATCCGGAATATCTCTGGCCTCTTGGAAAGGCATCTTACCCTGCCAGAAAATGCACAGAGAGGAGACACCAAAAGTTAAGGCTTTGAAGCCATTTTATAAACACCTTTAAATCAATAATAAAAAGAAAATTAACACATCTACAGGGAAATAAATGTAACCAAGCTTTGTAAAGCTAAGCAGAAATATAGCTATTAAAGTTTTGTTTGCAGTAATATGACGTGGAAGTGACTTGCTTGTATGTTATCTTTTAATAGAGGTTTCTATACTTTTTTTTTTTAGATTCATTTTTTAAAGGTAAAAAATAGTTTTGAAAATGCACTATATGGGAACTTTTGCTTTGGTGAGTGAGACCTAATTAGCACTGTTTGAAACAGTTGGTTCAACTAAACTTATTTAAAGCAGTAAAAAAAACGAATGATTGCTGTGTAGGAGATTAACATACTCAGATATTCGGCAACAGCGAAGATTGTGGGGTTCATATTACTTTATAAATGATCCCCTGCCAGAATATCTAATACCTGACTTGTTTTACAGGAATGCAGAGGGAATGTAACCAGGGCTCGTGGACAGAGGTGATATCTTTTATTAGACCAACAAGATTTTTGTTAAAACAAGATCACCTCTGTCCATGAGCCCTGATTGCTTTTTTCTCTAGACCAATATGGCTACAACCTGGATACCTGAGGGAATATAACTGCTCTGGTACCTTTAACCCCCAGCCAAGCATAGGTCCAAGACCTAGGGAAGCAGAGAGCTTTTTGCCCCCTAAGGAGTCTTATGCCAGAAACAGTGCTACATTTGCTTAGACTTACAATTCTTTCACTGCCAAGGTTTATTTGCCCTCCCTCCACTTAGTGTGGAAAGTCTATGTATACAAAAAACTAGAACTGTTGGTCCTATAATGATACCTTTTATTAGACCAACTGGGAAATTGCAAGAAAATTGTCCTGTTCTGCAAGCTTTCAGGATCAAAGTTCCTTCGTCATGCTCTGGGAAAAGTATAGATGGTACAAGATGGTAAAAAGGCTCCATAGGTAGGAAATAAACTTCATTTTTGCGCACAGGGAACTGAAGATGGAAGGCTGTTCCTTTTGTGTGTCATTTTTGTATGTCTTCTTGTCTCAGACCAACATGGCTACCAAGAACCAAGAGTTCTAGATTTTTATATGTCATCTTGTGTCGGATGAACACAGCTACCAAGTACACCCTTGAAACATGGAAGTTTATATAAGTATTCATAGTCACTTCACGAGCTGTAGATTTTGCAAGTCGTCCTTTCTGCTTTTGCTATTGTTATGACATTACATCTGGTAGTATAGTCAAAGGTTGGAAAAGTGACCACTGCCATGGTCCTTCATACTTTGGATACAACCTGTCAGACCTATTACTCCTCTGCTTTCCTAAAGTAGACAGTGACTTACATGCAAAAAGGAAAACTGAGTCATCTCTCCAGTTCCAGGGCTATTAAAGAGAGTACTTTGTTTAGAAGGTCTTGCCTAGACCCTCCATCACAAAATGAATATCGCTGGATAAAACTGTTTTATCAGTAGGCATAAACAAAAGTATCTTTTACTACCTGTTGCAGTAGGCTGTAGCCTACAAAAACTCATGCCTTTCTAAACAAATTAGTCTGCTCTGTAAAGTACCACCCTATTTGCCTCCTGCCTAACTTCAGAATAATGTGGCTGATTATCTCTACAAAAGTGTTTGTTTAAATTTGGTGTAGTAGCACTTAGAATTAGTGTACGGCATATGTGCTGTAGTGCTGAAACCAGTTCTACTTAGTTGTCGAGGTATGACAGGTAAAGTGTGAGGAAAGTTGACTCCATTACCTTGAAAAAGCAAAGCTTGCAGATAACCTATTCTGAGCATACATGGGCCATCATATGGGGCAACATCTTACCTAGCCTGGTTTCTCCTTCTGTTTCCCTCAAATTCTCACTAATATCCATTTCTAAATTTTAAAACACATTAAAAATCCCAGAGTTTGAAATAAAATATAGCTTTTCAAATTGCCTATGTAATATTTCCAGTTTTAAATTTGAGTAATCTCATGGGAATAAGTGTCAGATTGAGACTCCTTTTTTTTGCTGGTGTCTCATTTTAGTAGGAAAATGAGTATATGTGAGGGAGTACCATGTAAATAAAAATAAAAACCATTTCTGGTTTGGGGTGAGGACGTATATATGGCCGGAAACTGAAGTTTTGAAAACATAAGAAGACAGAATGGAGAGCTATACAGAAATATACAGTTTTAGATTAAATCTAAGAGGTAACATTTCAACACAGTATAAAATTTCAACATGGTGTACAGAATCCCATTGTGTAACTTCTGATAATGCTGATGGGAATTGTGAATTTAAATCCATGCATGCCATACTGAGAAATCTTATTTTAATTGTAACATTGTTTTCTCTTAAATATTTTTGCCTGTATTTTATAGTTCCCTTCCCCCCAGCTCTCAAATAACCTACCTGTAGGATAATGCGGGAATGTACAATTTATTTCTCTAGCACAGAACCATTCATTACTTCCCTTGGTTTGTCACAGTCCCTGTTTTTATTCCAGAATGCCTAAAATCCCAGGGGACATGACATTGATCCATTTTATTTAAGCAAACAGGGTAGATTTGTTTGTGGAATTTCCTATAGGGAATTATTTTAGCCGTATTTATTGCTTCAGTTATGATGATAATACAGGAGTGAAACTCCTTTTGTTGTTTAAGCACAGTGCTGTTTTTTCTTTCCTTTTTCTTGATGCAGTTATGAAATGCAAATGTAGGACATCCAATACAAGATAAATCCCTTTTCTCCAGTAAAACAAATCCTCTTTCATCCATTTTACAACTTGTAAATTATAGTTTCATGCTGAAATTATTCAAATTTATCTGATTCTTTGCTTTTCTTTTCACTGTGCAGTTGAAATGAATTCAGGACAGAAAAGGTTTTGACTGGGGTGATGTTACTATTTTGTATTCAAGATTTTATCCAGAATGGTAAAATTAATACAAACATCCCTCTATTATTTTGAATGTCAAAGATTGGTTGGCCTTTTAGTGAAATCTGTGTAGGTTACCGGTTTAAGTATTTATCACTGAATAAATAAAATTGTTTAAATATTTATTGCCCAGTGGGAGAAAACTACAGACATGGTGCAGAAAATTCTTCTTTTCCCCTTTGTGTATTGCTTCTGCACGGTGCTCTGGAACTGCCATTGCCAGATGTGGACATGCTTCTTTTGAAAATAACAGTATCACTATTATACACAAGGCCCTGGATTATTTGCTTCCCCACTAGAAGAACATTGTGTGTGGGCGGATTATTGGCATTTCAAGGTCTGTGCAGAGTCTGGGAAGTCAGCTCCTACTGTAAACAGAGCAATAGAAGAGTGGAAGCAGGGAGGGGCCTACATCTCTCTGATTATTTTAAGAAGACATGTTCCAAGAAATTCTGAACTCAGATGTAGTGCAGCAGACTTAAATGAGGTTAGCTCTTTTTCAGTGTGTGCTCACTAATTAAAAATAAATATAAAAACTAGTACAGTGGGTAGGTGATGTATAGTACAGTTTCGTAGCCTAACGTATCAATTGACGGGCAACTAGAAAAAAAACAAATAGCTCCTTCAGAACTTAACTTTTGGTAGTAGTATTTATGAAAAATAATGGGATCAGAAAAGGAACTTAGTGAAAGCTGTGCCTGTGTGTGTATTTTAGGATCATCTTTACTGCAGTCATACTTACGATGGTGGTAGGAATAACCGTAGTCATTACTATATTTGCTTTGGAATGCCTCCTTTCCCCTTACCAGCAACATGAAGTTGTAGTTTGAGCCATATTTAAGGCAAATGTTTGAAAAGATAAGTATGTATGAGGTTATTTTGGATGAAGTCAGTTCATTGCTGCTCTGTGGTTCATTTCCAGGTCCTTCAGCAGCTTTTAAATCACTTCAGAAAAAACAGGGATAAAGTTCTTCTCTTCTCCTTTTCAACCAAGGTGAGCTCCATATGATTCACATCATAATTGACCCCAGCAATAAGTCCTGAGGCCTAAACTCTAGAGACATCAACAGCTGTCAGCCACATTTTCTTTCTCACATATAGTATGGGAAATGGTGTTGATAAGGACAGTGTGCAGTAGTAAAGAAAACATGTTGTAACCTTATGTTATCTCAAGGCTGATGGAAAGGACAAAACCATTGTAGTGTTCTTTGTTCCTTGGGATTTTTTTTTCACTACATTACTCTGTTGGACTATCTATGGTTGAGTTAACACCGCGTCAGTTAGCATAGTATGAGTAAACCAGTGCACTGTAAAATGACATTGAAGTAGGGTGTTTGTATTAGCACAGAGTAGTTGAGTCTCTTCCACCTCACTAGTTTGAAAATCAGTGGCACTAGAGCTTCAACCCATGGGCCCTGATGGGCCAGGTAGCTTGAGTAGAAAACATTGTTTAATTTGTGCTAAAGTGGGGGAGGAGGGGGAGAAGAGAGCTTAAGGGTGGGATTGGGAGGGAGGGGTATGTACATGTGTGTACATATAGGAGTCATGTTAGGGGCAACACACAAAGATAAGCCCCATATGCCATATTCTTGGGAGTGATGTGCTTTGTAAAATGATGCAAACTATATCTAACTAAATGTTTAGTTTACCTCTAAAATGTCTATATTTAAAAAAAATGTAAATGACAGTTCAAGATCTTTAAAGGTTTTGTTGCTTTAAGTAAAACTAGAGAAGTCACATTTATATGCACCAATATAACACTAAGTATTTCTGACAATACAGAGGAAAGGTAGAAAGAAATGCTCATTCTCATAATTATTGGTCTATGGATTACTTTAAGTTATATTCAGGAAATCTGATTCCTATAGTTGTTTTCGAAGTTTACTTTAGAAGGCACTAATAATAGCCTGATCTTCCCATCTCTTTATCAGTTGCTAGATGTGCTGGAACGATACTGTATGGCATCTGGGCTAGATTACCGAAGACTTGATGGAAATACAAAATCAGAGGACCGGGTTAAGATAGTAAGAGAGTTCAACAGCATGCAAGATATTAATATTTGCCTAGTCTCTACAATGTAAGAAAATTTCATTTTTATTTTGTGTGTCTGGCCTTACTAGATATTTAGAAAAAAAGTAAAGTTGTGCTTTTCTTTATTTTTTTTTAATTTTTTTTTTTGGAGGAATGATAGCATTACAATCAGTTTTTATATTAGTCATCAGCTATATACAGCTAAGTTTAGGGCTCTTACTTTTGTAGTGCTTTTTTTTTTATGCACAGTATTCCACTCTTTTCTTTTATAGGATCACTGAGATCTGAACCTGGTGAGTGATAATTTTAAATCCCGATCTAGCCAAAACAGTGACAATTGATAAACAGTTGCTGATGTAATCTAGTGGCACGCTAAATTCTTTTTCTGTTCTGCTATAGACCCAAAGGCAAACTTTCAGAAATTATTATGTTTGTGCGAAACCTGCAATTGTATGGGAATTTATTTTGGGTGTAGGTTGCTGAATATACTTTTATTATATAAAAAAAAAAAATCCACCTTTTATATCTGTGCAATTTATGAGCCAACTTCATTGAAATATGACCCCTTTAAAGTACTTACCTCTAACAAGTTATAGATGTCTTGCAAACCTTTTTTTCATTAATTTGTATACCAGAAAGGTTGACGCATTTAATTTATGGTCAATAGTGAGCTCATTGGAATAGTTCAGCGTGATGTAGGTATTGAGCCAAAAATAATGAAAATAGTAAACTGACCATTCTTGGCTTTCTGTCTTATTACACAGCCGTTATCTCTTTCCTTGGCTAGCTACTGCTGCCAGGCAGTGATGGAAGAGGAGCAGAGACTAGCCCTATCTCTTTGGCTGGGGCAAGACTCCATGTAGTATGCAGCCAGTATAACTGTTGCCAATATTATCTTTTCCTCATTTTCTGACACGGCATGAGTGTTGGGAGCAAGAAGGGGAAGACCCCATGCCATGATAAATTCTGGTTGTCAGACAGCTCTGGTCAGGCAGTTCCTTGGAGACTGTTGCCAGCTAGCATGTATTTGAACTGCCTTCATGCTGCTCTGAAGTGCATCTGGACTGGGATATGAGTAGAGAGAATCCAATAGCTAGTGACACACTTGCTTACTGAGTATAACCAACAGGAATTGAAGAATCTGGCTGCTAGCTTTGGTGAGACTTCTTAAAAAGAAAGATTAGCAGGTTTTGGCCCTTGTAGATAAACAGAAAATAAATATGGAAACAAAGTGCTACAATAGTTAACCTAAGAGTTAGTGTCTGCACTGTTACAAAAGGCTTTCTATTTATAATATTTTATCAGGCATATTTGTCTTATATACTTTTAAGTTTTACTTCATCCTCATTGCTTCTTAAATCCTGTCTTATGAAATGAAATTCACTTTAGCAGAAATAGAATCTTTATCAACAGTTGCCTCTCTCTTAAGGTTCTTGAAAGGACCGGTGGTGAGCAGGCAGTGCCTAACAGTATTGCTTCAGTCCAACCCCTTTAATCACTGATGATTCTCTTTAGGTTCAGGTGTATTTAAGGTTTCTTATTTCACTGGTTAAAAACCCCCAACATATACAATGCAATAATAAGCAGACTAGTATATGCGCCTAAGAAACAAATACAGCATTCTGCAGTATTTAAAAATGTACCTACTGTATAAAAAATGAATATGTCAGGCAAACAGAAACAAAGCAAGAGAGGAAGCTAAAATAGTCTTTTGTAATCTTTTGGAAATTTAAAGGTGCTACCTTCCAGTCCCATTCTTCAAGAGATTCTTGTCTTCTCTAAATCAGACTCCAGGCACATTACACCAAAATCCTTTGTGTAGTCATCTGCCTGATGAAACTTTTCAGTACTTTCTTTATTTCTAAGCACATAGTAAGTTGACAGAATTGGGTCAGTATTCTTCTGTTCGTAGTTTCTTGCAGATTTGTTTAGCCTGTTGCTCTATACAGTCAACTTGCATGTCTTTTCAAAGTCCCAGCAGTCAAGGAATGAAACATTAATTTCTATTAAATCTGATCGTTCTTTTCTTTGGCTGCAAAAATGCGTTTAGCAGTGGATGGCCTCTTGGTAGAGAGATTTTTATTTGGTTATTTTATTCCACTGTGACAGTCTATGTACAACTTTAAACAAGAAGTAACGGCCTGTAAAATTAAGGAATTAAAAGCAAGAAATAATAATTCGTTGTTAGACTTGTAAGATTCTCTTATGTTGTGGGGAAATAGGTTCTTTCTGTTTTGAAATTTTTTTCTGCATTGTCTTTAGATGAATATTTTTAGAAACTTAATGTCTAAGATTTTTTGAAAAAATGGACATTTTTAAAGAAGTTTTTCATCTAATAGAATTGTATATGGAAACTAAGAACTACCTGATCTTATAACTTTACATTTATTTTGGAACACAATCATGTTGATAATGTGACTTTCACAAGACTGTCAGGGATGATCCCTGGAAACTGTAAATTTACTGAATCCACTTTCTGTAAATGAAGGCTTTCACAGTAGCTCACTTTTATGCTACGTATGTGTGGTTGAAGATGTGTGTGGTTGAAGTCACAAAAAGGATAGGCTTGTATGGCAGAACATGCTGCTCTGGAGAGATACCTGAACTAGCTCAGAAACCAAAAGTAGGACAGCGATGGTAGCACAGTATGCTGCTCAATTTGATTTGTCCTGCTTTTTCAGTGAAGCTGATTTTAGCCTGTACAGAACGCTGCAACAATGAGTGTGTACACATGTCTAAGTTGATTTAAAATAAGGCGACTTAACTAAATTGACTTAAGTAAGTTGATTTAAATTAAGCCACGTGACAGCCATCAGCATGTATTTTAAGTCTTAGACCAGGGTTGGGCAAAATGCACCCTGCGGGCCAAATCCAGCCTGCCAGGCAATTCCATCCAGCCTGCGGGGCCCCTCTGTAAGCCCTGACCTTGGGCTGTGGCTCTGGTCACTAAGCAACTGCCCTCCTACCCCATCATGCCCTGACCCGCCCCAGCCCGAGGTAGGGGGTGCTAGAGACAAGAAGCCTCTGCCTGCAGGGGCTTTTGCTTGTGACCCTGTGGCTGTATCCAGCCCTCCCTGCCTGCACACCTAGAAATGTAGGTAAGGGCCCCACCGGGCTGGGACAGGGACTCCTGCTGGTGGAAAGGTGGCAGGAGTGTGGGGAGCTGTTGCACTATGGGGCCAGGCTGGGCTGGTCCTGCACACTGCAACAGCACAGGAGCTGTGAGCTATGGGGCCTGGTAGGGCAGGCCCCACACACTGCCACCATTTGCAGCCGGGGACTCAGGTGAGAGTGCAGGAGCTGGTCCTGCATGCTGCCACCACACGCAGCCAGGGACTTGGGCAGGAGTGCTGTGGGGCTGGCCTCACAAGCTGCTAACATATGCAGCCAGGGACTTGGGCAGGAGCTAGGTGGTATGGGGCCAGGTGGAGCTGACCCCGCACCCTGCCATCACCTTCATCTTTAGGGACTTGCTCACTCCAGGGACTCTGAGGATTCCCCCCCACCATGTACACACATGCACCCCCACCCTCCCACAGCTCTCGCACACACTCCCACCCCACCACCCCAACCATATAACCCGCACCCTTTAACACCCACCGCCCCCACCATAGCTACACCCAACACATGCAATATACAAGAATAAGACTGTATTTTGAGCTATTATGCAATCAGCTGTAGATAGAGTATGCAAACGCACATAAATCAGGACAAAAATATTTTTAAACATAAAATTAAAATAAGTTTTAGTGGAAGCTTGACTTTTTCTTTTTTGTATATGATTTGTTTTTTTTTCCAGTTTCAAGATGGCAACCCCCCAAAGGAGTACTTCTGGAGCAAGGGGAGGGACTGCAGGTGGCAAAGTCAGGGGTTAGGGGCAGGACTTTGGATCCCAAGATGGTGACCAGGGGGCGGAGCGCCTGTCAAGGGGCAGGGATACCCTTGCGGCCCTTGACAGCTCAGCAAAACTCATTAAACGCCCCTCCCGCTGAAATAATTGCCCACCCCTGTCGTAGACTAATGTGGCCCATGATAATACACCTTGGAAGTATATTATCTTGTGCTGCATTTAAGTCGACTCTGCTCGCGTATGTGTGTACATTCTAACAGTTCATTCGACTTAACTTGGCTTAACTATCAGAAAGTTAGTAGATGTGTTTCCACCCGGTGTAACTATATTATTTCTGGTACTTGAGCTGATACCTTGACTCTGTATTGTACCTTGTAGACATACTCAGAATAGCTCAGAATAGCTGTCTGTTGGAACATCTCAACCTTTTGTCAAATATCTCTTTTATGGCACAGTAAAACTGCGCTGACAGTACTGGAAGAACTTTTAATGCTATAGACATGGTTTGCCATGCTTAGAAAAGTTGAAACTATGGCAACTTGTCAATCTTATGAAGAGCAAAGCTGTGATTTGCTGGAATTACAGATTCAGCTGGTAGAGCATTCAGAGTTTGTAACTCCATTGGTACAGCTCTTTCTCATTTGTTCAGTAAAAGATATTACCATAAAATCTAAGTGTGCAAACTGATAGGAAGGAAAGACAGACAGACAGACAGACTTTTAAGAGACATTTATTCCCGGGTGGGTGATCACTCGGAGCCAGTAAAGAGCATGTACAGGTACGCCCGAAGATCTGGGCCTCATGGACAAGGCCTGGGCTCATGGCCTGCAAGGCCTGCCCGTACACTCTAAACTAACAAAAGAACACACACACCCACACACAAAAAAAACCACAACGAACATTCGGACTAATTTGACTTTTTTACAGTTCTGCCAGCGGGGGACACCCATGAGGCCTCAGGGGTCGCCCTGCATGAACCAAAGTCCAAGGCCTCGGCCCGCTTGAGGCATCCCTGCAGCTTGAGCAGCCGGTGGTCTCACAGTACGAGGACCAGGCGTCCCGCCTCGACTCGGCACAGCGG